GGGTGTGTGTGTGTGTGTGTGTGTGTGTGTGTGTGAATTCCCAATTTTCTAACTTTGGATCAAATATATGTATTTTTCTCTTCTGCACTGTGTGTGGGCCAAACAGCACAATGGTGGGCCAGTAATTTGCAAACCTACAACATATACAGAAAAACTGACTTCTTCCATTTTCTGGAACACATGCTGCATAGACATGCAACTGAAACACCAAACAGTGACGGACCAAACCAATCATCTGTGGAGGGGAAGACTAAACCTATACTGTAACAAAACAACCACATTTATGCCTAAGGAGATAAATTTTGAATATATTTTCTCCAAATAGCTGATGATGATTGGATTGCTTTTTCCATAGGCAAATAAAAATGCAACTCTTTGCTTTCCAGAGTTGACATCCTAAAAAACAGACTAACCATTTTTAAATGAACTTGGTAAAAAGCCTTATTATCAATGTAATTTTCTTGAATTTAGGTTGGACAATAAAATTATCCCAAAGCCTCTGACCATGCCCTCACCCTTGTCCAGCCACAGTGAGAAAGGAGGAACAACGCTAACAAAGATATCCCACTGCTGTGCTAATGCATCTAACACTAGCACACTTTCCCTCCCTCTTGTTCCCATAAAAACATCTGTGCAAAGTGGGCCCAGCTGGCTTGCAAATATGTTCCATGATGCAGGCCAGTTTCCAGCCCCTTCCTGTCACCCTTTGTCTTGTCTCCTTTCTGCCAGTGTCCATTTCTCTTTTAAGTACCTAATGCTTAGTGAAAAAAAATCAGTGTTAACAGGTTAAAAGTTAATATGCATCACCTGTTTCACCTCCGTCCATTAGTAAACTTGGACCAGCAAAGGGGATTTGACATATTACCTGTTTGCCTATCTCCTCCATGGGGTAAATTAAGAGGGGTGCTCAGGAGTTATTCATCAAAATGTCAGGCTCCAATTTGGTAAAATCATTATAACACCTGCTTTCTGGGAATTATCGTGAAATCTCACTCCTTTTCCCTTTTTAGAGAATCTGCTGTTGGCTAAGAAATACACCCACCCACAACTTTTATTTACGGTTTGAGGTCTATTTGGCATGGTGGGAAGGAAGGAAATTTCAGGAATCAGCTAGTGGTGAACAGTCCTTGGAGACTGAGGCAGAAAGACATCCAGACTGCTTGGGAAGCCTCCTGAGATTAGGGGGTTCTTACAACACTGCAAAGGACTTTCAAAGTTTCCATTAGTTCAGACTCACTGAAGTATGAGAACAGGTCCACTGGAAACTCTCTCAATTTCAGCCAAGGCAGCAAGCATCTGACATTCAGATAGATTAAGAAGAAAAAATAACGTGTAAAAAAATATGAGGTGGGGAGGGGAGTATGGAAGCAAGTCTGGGGCACTCGAAATCATCAAAAAAATTCAAAGTGGAAAATGGTGGTCCCTTAGAGAGCACAGGGGTTCCTGGAACCAACACCTATACTCAAGATTCAGGTCTTCACCTTTTTCCATATCCTAGTTCTTGCATAGTAAACCCTTCCTGAGTCTTCTTGGCTCCCCAGGGGATTTTAGAAGTTTTTGATTCCCAAACTGCTGATCGCTCTTTATTTACCACCTTTGCAGCAAGGGAGGTAAGTGCTAAAAGGCCACAAACCCTGAAGATTCAAGGGATCTCCTCAACCTGAACTCAGCTGCTGACTTTCCCAAGAATAAGCCATGCTCTCCCACGATTAGTGTTACCAGATGTAGCAAATAAAATTACAAGGTGCAAGTTAAATTTGAATTTCAAATAACAGCAAACAATATGTATTATAATTCCATAGATCACATGGGCATACATATACTAAAAATATTCATTTCAGCTCAAATCAAATTTAACTCAAATCAAATCCTGTATTTCATCAGGTAACTCTGCTATGAACAGATTCAGAAAAATTGTTGCACTTTACAGCCCAGTGCATTGCAGAAAAAAATTCATTCAACAACGCTAGTGAAGAGGAATTTTTAAAATGTATGAATCTCTTAACTGCCAGAAAAAATGCCAAACGATCCACCTTATGTGCCTCTTTATGAGATCGGCTAGTCCAGAGATTCTACACCCTGGCTGCACACTAGAATTACTTGGAAAACAGCTAAATGTTTCTGATGCGTGCACCCTGCCCTAGACCTAATGAATCAGAATGGAATTTTTTAAAGATGCTCCTTGATTTTGAAGAGCAGTCAGGTTAAGACGCACTGAGCTAAAGAGGCAATGAAGAAAAGCTGAAGTGTGGTAGAGAATGTATGATTGTTTCAACACAAGGTTCCTAAATTTTGCTGCACATTGGACTCACCCAAGGATTTTTGAAAATCACTGACACCTGGCACCCGCCTGAGACGTTCTGGTTCAAATTAGTGCTAGGTACAGCCTGGGCCTATCAGGAGTTGTAAAACTTCCTCAGAGGTTTCTAATACAGAATAAAGTGTGGAAAACACTGTGTGACCCTAACATACCTCTGTTTCTTAAGATGAGAGCAGCTCTAATTACTTCTGTGGGAGTAGGAATGAAATCTGACCTTCCAATCATATTGAAAAACAAATTAGATGTCGCTTTTTAAACCTGTTTTGCCCTTGCTGACTTCAAGATTTACACCTTAAGAATGGGATGTTGTTTTCAGGAACTTAACTCTAGCTCTGTTTATAGGATGCTTATTAATCCTTTTGCCAGGAGTTTTATAGATGGGAGAATGACAGTCACCCAAGACCCTTCTATAACTCCCTGCCTTCAATCACATATAATAATAATGATTACACACCCATGGAACTCAGAAGCCATACTTCATTTGTATATCAAGACTGCACAAACTGATGGCTTGACAAGAAGAGTGTGATGCCAACCTCCAGACTAAGTCAAAGAAGGAAGAGAATAATCTGCCCCTTGCTAAAACAAATGTCATCATACGGGATGCTGACCTTTCTTACAAATTGCTAAATGCACACTGATCCCTAGAACTGTTAGTCCTCCAACACGTAAAAGGTTACTCACCCTCAAGAGATTATTCAGCCCTGACTTGACAGAGAATGCAAGAACATTACTTGAGTGCCAAAGCCAATAGATATGAATTTCCAAAGAAGCATGCTTTGTGGGAGGATATGGGCTTTACCCCAGCTGCCTGGGTAATCTGAGAGCCAAAGGAAGATATGACTGTCAGAGAAGATACCTGATGAGTTCCAGAACTTCAGTTTAGGGAAGTATTTCACATGACTAAATAATTTATCAAGAAATGGCCAAATATTACTAGCAGTATGATGTCATGGGTGAGTTGATGAGATTCATTTGTGATGAAGCCAGACTCCCAGCCTCTTGCCAGTTAGTGGAGAGGTAAACAGACCAGAAGAGCAATGGTTAATATAAAGAAAGGAACACATCTACTATCAGGGCAGCCTCAAGTTTTATCACCATGGTAGGAAGAAAAGGAGGTTTTGCTGTCTGTCCAGGGTATTTCAAGTCCACAAAACCTTCTTATTCTTCATATTTTGAGAAAACTTTGGAAACATAAAATTATTTTTTAAAATCAAGTATCTAACATTTTTGTGACTGTGCTTTTGGACTTTCTTACCCACTCAGTTGATCATTTCATAACTAAAGGACTTTAAGGATTCCTGAAATTATACACTGTTTTTAATATTTTCTAGTTTGAAATATTGATAGAGCAACATGGGCCAGATTTGTTTTGAAGGATATGAATAAATCTGTCTATGACATGAAAAAAATATTAGGAAATACGTGTTTTAAAGCTTTAAGTTCATCAAGGGTAGCTCTTCGTTTAAGAGAATTTAATACACGAAATTGAGTATTTACAAAAAAGTCAGCATTTACTTTAGCCAAGGATTCTTTACTTTAGAGTCCTCTTCAACAGAGTTATTTTACATACCATGTTCCCAAGTACATTTAAAAATGTTTGAATTACAGATACTATATCAATAAATAAATTCTTGGTGAAGAAACACTGGTGCAAGTGAGGAACACCTACACTGTCATAAGTGAATGAAGCAATTAAACTTGCAGAGGGCATCAAATACCCCAAACCAGTTATTTGGTATACTGGTACACTCAAGAACATTTAATTGATTTCATGTAAACTGATTAATAAAAGGTTAGCGTTTTTCACTCAGAATTAAGAATAACCTTCTACAAGCTACTTTGATCTCTAAAAGATATAAAAGAGTTCTTAGATTTCCCATTTAAATCAATGAATTTCATTTAATACTGGTGATTTGAGTATGCATTTTTTCATTCATTCATCAAACTTAACTTTAGCACCTGGCATGTTTCAGGCACTAGGGTACTTGCTGGGAGACAGTTTAGTGAAGGTGGCAGATATAAATTACACAATTACTACAAGCTATTGTAAGTGGCCTGAAGAATAAGCACAGGGTGTTATGAATTGTATATAGGGGATGTGCCCTGGACTCAGAAAAAGAGTCCTGGAGGGAGACATTTAAGCTAAGACAGCACTCTTAACAGCTCCCATTTACTAACATTATGCTAACAGTGCTTTAACAGTGTTAGCGATGGTCTATTGACTTAGATACTTTGATTTTGCCATTTTGTGCATAGGGAAACTGAGACTTAAAAAGAGAAAGTGGCCTGTCAAAGGTAGACACATCTAGGAAGCAACAGAGCCTGCGATTAAACCAAGATGCTGACTCCAGAACATGTATTTTATGCTTAACTATTAGTTATAGGACCTCTCCAAAGAACAGGATGAGACAAGTAATTAAATAAAGGGAGGAAAAGAGTGTTCCAGATGAGAAATAACTATGATCTCAAATGACTAAGAGCATAGATTATAACAAATATGTGCACTTGGCAAATCTAACTGAAACTAGCAAAGAAACATTTCCCAACAGAATCTAATTTCTGTAACAGAAAGAGGCTTCCTTCAAACAAAATATTTGCAAAGACTGTCACCTAGTGGCAACAGGCAGGAAGTCGGTTTTGGGCTGGTATTTCTGAACAGGTGTATCCAGTTGCTTACCTGGGGATGCGGATCATCAATTTTCATGTCTATTGTTTGCCCTGGGCAATCCCAAACTGTTTTTCCTAGAAACAAAATACATTAAACTAAACATTACAAGATCAGCAACCACCTGTTTCAACTGAATTGAGATACAAACATAAAAGTAGCATGTCACAGTTTCAAGCCCTCAGAGACAGAAAAAGATCCTAAGTTTTATCCTATCCCTCTATGACTTGGGCCAAATGAATTTGTGCCAACAGAATAGTGAGTAATCTAAATAATGGCTAATGAATATGTCTTATTGGACAGTGAAGCTTTGGATTGCTTTACTGGATGAAGAGCCCCCAAGTAGTTGAGGGGCTGTCAAAAAATATAAGGAGTATGTAATAGATGCTAAAAAGGAGGGGTCTATAGCAACTACAGTCCTAAATGGTTGCAAAAGTTAGGACTCTCATTTTTAGTATACATGTATATCTTAAACTAACCAGAGTGAATGTACTTCTTAGCAAGTAAAAATTATAACTGATATAAACATCCAGTCTTAATTCTAATTGGCTTAGGTGCTAAAATCACCTGAAGAAGTTAGTTTAGAGATGGTATGGTGGTAATCTGAAATGGAACCAGGAAAGGGGTTCCACACAAGCTGATTTGAGTCTTTATTTTCCTCCATAAACCATTAAGCCCCTTTATTTAGGATATTTTCTTTTCATTCAATTAAGGCATTTTTCTCAAAGAAGCTAGATCTAATCTCTGGAAGTTAGCAACTTTCTGTTTAAGCTTAAATGTAGAATGGGAACTTGTCAGGTTAAACATCACAGGTGAATGAGTCTACTCAAGATCAGGCACAAATATTACTATGTGTATTGGTTAGAACCCTTTATGTTGTTGGGTGGCTGTGGTGGCTCACTCCTTTAATCCCAGCACTTTGGGAGGCCGAGACAGGCAAATCATTTGAGGTCAGGAGTTCAAGACCAGCCTAGCCAATATGGCAAAACCCCATCTCTACTAAAAAGACAAAAATTAGCCAGACGTGGTTGCAGCCACCTGTAATCCCAGCTACTTGGGAGGCTGAAGCAGAAGAATTGCTTAAGCCCAGAAGGCAGAGGTTGTAGTGAGGCAAAATCACGCCAATGCATTCTAGCTTGGGCAACAGAGCAAGACACCATCTCAAAAAGAAAAAAAAAAAAAGCCTTTATATTGCAAACAGCAGAAAACTCAAAGTGAGCCTGAGTGATTGGAACAAAAACTGAACAGTCCAGGGATAGCTTTAGCTTCATAAGAGGCTTGATACAGGGCTCAAATTGCATGACCAAGACTCTTTGCTCCCTCTCTTTCAAGCAGATTTGTCCTTCATGAACCCAAGCTGGCAGCTGGAAGCTTTGGGTTATAAAGTTCAAGTACAGAGGGTGTATTAATCCGCTCAGGCAAATGTACCACTGACTGGGTGGTTTAAATAACAGACAGTTTCTCACAGTGCTGGAGGCTGGGAGTCTAAGACTAAGGTTGGTTCCTGGTGAGGCCTCTCTCACTGGGTTGCAGACAGCCTCCTTATCACTGTGTCCTCATGTGACCTTTAACTGTGTACATTTGGGGAGGAGTGGGGGAAAGAGAAGGAGAGAGAAAGAGGAAGTAGATCTATCTCTGATGTCTCTTCTTCTTATAAGGATGGTAGCTCTATCAATTAAGGCCTCACCCTTTGACCTCATTTAACCTAAAGGGCCCTGTAGTCACATTGGAAATTAGGGCTTCCACATATGAATATGTGGCGGGGGGGGCAACAACGGAGATGAGGACACAATTAAGACCATAACAGAAGCAGTTAACAAAATCCATTTTTTCAAGCCATCCCAGTGAAAAATCTCATTGGCTTAGATTCTATCACATGCACGTCTTTCAACCAATTACTGTAACCAGGGTGATGGATATCCTAGAGATGAAAGGTAGCATCAATGTTGAAGAATTCATATGGCTGAAAATTTAGAAAATAAGAATTACACAAAAGAATAATCAGAATTCTCTTGGTGGGAAAAGGAGGAAGGAATTCATGCTAAGATGTTAGCTGATAAATCTCCACTATATTGGGATGGTGCACCCTTTGTCTGAGAGAAGACTCCCCTATTTAGAGAAAAAATAGTATAGCAATAAGGCTCATTCAGAATACAAGCTGGCACTATACACTGTTGATATAGGAGAGATTGCAGACTGGGTTTCATTATCATTAATAGTATTAAACAGTCAAATCCACCTGCCTGGTACAATGATTCATTCTGATATCTAATTATCACAGCGGGAGTTGTGACAACCCAATTTCCTGATCTCTTCTCATATGGCTCGTTTTTCTTGTTGGATCATATTCTCCTCCTGTGTCATGGATTGCGACAATCCCAAAAGTCCTGCACACAGCCCCTCTGTTCTCTCTCAAAGTTTTTTTTTTTTTTTTCTTGATCTCGGCCATCCCCCAAGTTTCAGTGACCACAACCTTGAGTGTAACTTCCAGAACTTCATATTCTGGTCTATCCTCTTAATCTCATTCTTATTTGCAGACTCTGTGTCTCAAGAGTCCTGAGCTTGTTTTTGCTTGATCCCAATAAAGACTATCTTGCAGTTCTACTTAATAATGTGAAGGAACAAGAAAGTCTAAGTCATCCTCTAAGTAAGGATTTACTGTTTATTGTTTGGTACATGTCTCTTCCACTAAACTCTAAGTTCATTTAATACAGAGTCTATTCATCTGTATTGCCTAAAACAAATGATCATTCAATAAGGTCCTGTCAAAATATATGCAGCTTTCAAAACAACATAACAGTCCCTTCTACAACATTTCTGATAACCAATTCTTCCGTTTCTTCTGTAACAGCCACAATGAAGAAATGACAACAGGCTCACTACAGCAGTCTATCCCAGTTTTGAACAGCTATAATATTAGGAACTGTAATTGAGAGGCACAGAGTTGTGGGATGGGTGTTGTTTCCCAGAATCTAAACTTCCATTCTATGCTTGGTGAATCCACTACTGTGTGAGGAGGCCAAGTCCCATCTCTCCTTATGTAAATGGAAAATAACAGATACAAGTCATTGTGTTTTTTTTCTTTTTCCTGACCTTTGGTATTCATGCCATGGTATGTGGACCCTGCCTAAGCAGAGATCTGCATGGTACTGCAAATCAGAAGTTCCACGTAAGTTATCTTAAAAGTAGAGCCTATCTAGAATTCATTTCACTTATGACATCTAGTGTCCAGTAGTGGTATTGGCAGCCGGGTATTCAGGCCATCCCTAAAGAATGACCTTAATTATGATACAGGTAGGCGCTACAACTTTACTAATGATGTCCCCTCCCGCTGACTGCACCCCTTCTTAGCTCTGCCATCCTTCAAGGCCCTGCTTGAAGTGTCACATGCCCTGGGAAGTTTTCAAGGAACATCCAGACAAAAATAGACCTCTCCCTTCACACAACTCCATTAGTGTGGGGCACACAGCATTTACAGCCCTGTAAGTTCTATTTGCTTTTTGTAAATCTCTTACTGTATTGTGGCCATCTTCTAGGCAATAAGTCGAGTTTACCACATCTCTGAATTCCTCCACTATGCCTAACACATTGCAGCCACTCAATTAATAGTTTAAAATATGTTATATTTTAAAAATAAAATAGGAAGAAACATTAATAATGTAGGGTCTATCTTCTCTTGTAACAAAAGAGAAAAAATAAGTTCAGATCAACTTTAGATTACCTAATTGCAGCCAGTCATAACTGGCCTATGCTAGAACAATCTTTTCCTGGCTCCTTAGTTAAGGAATCTTTGTTAAATGACAGGGAAAATGGCATTTGTTTCATTTATCCAAGAACACGGGTGTGATTACAAATGAATGAGCATCTGGTTAATTAGAGCCCCAGATCCACCGTGAGCAACTTGCTGCCAATCTTAAAGCTCAGATCAACCCTTTGAGTCTGGCTTAGCTCAGGCAAAATTGTAGTCTGCAAAGGAAATTAAGAAAAGGAGGACAAGGAGAGTGTGGCATCCCAGACATAAGGACCCAACGAGAGCAAGCAAATCTGTCAAATGTCACCATAAGTGAGGACTAAATATTGACTACTGAGTTTTGCAAGGTACGAATTACTACTGGTAAACCTAACAAGAGCCACTTCATGGTATTGGTGGGGACAAAATCCTGGTTAAAGTGGGAGAAGAAAACCAAAAAAAGAACAAAAAGTAAGAAAATGAAGATAATGAACACAAACTTTTTTCCCGCCAGAAATTTTGTTATAAAGAGAAGAAAACAAATGGGATGGTTGCTGATTGGGGTCAAGGAGGTATTTTTTTAAAAATGAAATCATGAAATGATTTTTATGACAATCATGGCAGTATGTTTATGAGCTGACAGAGAAGATCCAATAGAGAAGAAAAAACTGAAGATGCAAGAAAAGAACAGTTAGAGCCAAGTCCTCAAATAGGCAAGAAAAGATGGGCTCAAAAGCACATGATTCATGTAACAGTTACCAGGATTCATCAGTGCTTACTAAATGTTGGCCATTATTATTTCTGATTGCTTAAATTTTTGAATAATGAATAGCCATCAGCTTTACAAAACATTATTATTAAAAACACATGCAAACAGCTTGGACTCTAGAATCAGACTGCATTAAATTCTAGTTCTAGCACTTGGACGGGACACTTTTTTTCTTTGGGGTTTGTTTTTCTCTGTAGAAAACGAGGGGTAATATCTACCTCATAAAGCTGCGGGCTTAACTGAGATAATCTGTCAAATTTAGCACATTGTGGGAACTTAAATGGTTACGCCAGTATTACCACTGGTAAGGTGCTTGAGATCGCACGATGGTGCCAAAGGTGATTCTCCACTGCCCAGCCCAGCGACACTCTTCCCCTAGAAGGCATTGTCGTAAAACAAACAAACAAAAAGAACACCCAAACACGGCAACTAAAAGCGGATACTTAGAAAACATACTGGAAATCAGCACAAGGTACAATTTACAAGATGAGGAGCCACATCTGCGCCTGCGCCAGGCTCACGACGCGCCACTTGCATCTGCGCAGTAGCGGGGGGCGGGGGGCGGGGGGCGGGACGCTCTGTTGGCTTTTCTCTGAGTTTTTCCTTTACGCGCGGCTTGGGAGGAACATCTCGTGAGATGTGGGACTTCTCGCGGGAACTGCATTCAAAAAACCCTGGCGCTTACCTGAGAGTTAGCAGAGTGGATGTGCCGTTGACTGTGGAGTTAGCGTCCTTAGTGTGGAATCCCTGATCTCTCATTAGGAGCCGCTGGCTGCTGCAGCAGGGAACTGGGGTGAGAGGTAGGGGCAAGGGGCCTGGTGGGAGGTGGGTGTGGAAAGCGGCAGTAGGGAGAAGCGACCAGGGCCTAAGGAAAGCTGGGAGCAGGGGTCTTGGCCGAGGACTTTAGCTGAAACACTCCTTCCCCGGAACCCTGGGTGCTTATATACTGGGTTCCGAGCCGGTCTAATCTTCCGTTGGACCACCTCGCCGCTCTCGGGATTCTGGACAAATATGGAAGTTTGGGTCGGTTGCCGGGCCTCAAAACGTTAACCACCAGTGGGTCTGCGCTGTGCGGTATGGTGGACACTAGCCCGAACTGAGAAATGGTGCAGATGGGAGATACACACTGGATTTCAGAAATAGCGCAGAAAGAGTAATAGCTCAATAATTGTTATAATGATTACATGCTGAAACGATAATGTTTTGAGTGTATTTGGTTAAATAAAATATGTAAATTTTTCATGTGTTTTTTAAAAAATGATGGCTCCTAGAAAATTTAAAATCATGTAGATGGCTTGCGTTATATTTCTGCTGGACATCACTGCCCCAGCCGTATGTCAGATTCTGCCCTAATTGCTTTTCATTCGTTATCTGATTTAATCCTTTCAATAAACGATTAAATAAGTGTTACTGTGCTTGTTTTTATAGATAATTAAACAAGACATATAACTTGTCCAAGTTCATGCATCCTGTGAGTAGTGGAGACGGGGTGAGAACTCAGGCAGTTTGATTCCCAGAGTTTCCTATCTCCCAAATGCTTTGTGTGTGCTGTTTTTGAGAAGATAGAAAAGTGGTTGTAGCACCAAGGCTTGTAGGTAGATTCTGGTTCCCATCTTACTTAGCCTCTTAACTTGGGAGTAACCCTAAACAAGTTACCTAAGCCTTCTGTGCCTCAGTTTGCATGTGTAAATGAAGGAAGTACCTTCAACTTCTTAAGGTTTTTGAGAAGACTGAATAAGAATGTACATAAAGCACCAAGCACAATGTCTGCCACACATTAGCTGTAGCTTTTAATCAGCCACCTCATCCCTCTTTGTAGATTGATAGGTTAACTCTTTTTCATCCATTAGATCTCTGCTGAAAAGTTACCTCCTCAGGAAAATCTTTTTTGTCCATGTTCCCTTCTACACCCTGCCCCCGCAGGTTAGGATAGCTCACCCTTGTTAAAGGCTCAGGTAGCATATCTCTCTCTCTCTCTCTCTCTCTCTCTCTCTCTCTCTCTCTCTCTCTCTCTCTCGTCATACTTGTAACTTTATAGTTCAATTACTTGATTTAATGTCGTTTACTAATAGACTGTAGGATTCAAGAAGACAGGAATATTGTTTTGGGTTACCATTGTGTCCTCAGCACCAGCACAGTGTCTGACACACAATAAGAATTCCAGCAAATCTTGAATAAACAAGAGTTAATTTTTTTGGCTTCTCTGGATTTGCCTGGCTGGAGCGTCTTCATGTTAACCCTATTTTTTCTTTGGTAGTCGAGATGACAGTATTTACTGAACTCTGACTCATCAAGAGAATTAGACGAGATAATATATTTGAAGTACTTAGTATGGCAAATGGTAAATCCTCAACAAATGTGTTATTGTAAACAGTACAACATTTAGTTGGCTGGCCTTATCATCTACAGGCTTCAGGTCTTGCATTTTAGAGCAGTGACTGCCAACTTGGGATTATCTAGAACACCTTTTTTTCTCTCTTAAAACACTCTCTTCCCTTGTCATCATTCTCAGTTAAAGACCTTGCTTCCTAATTCATTGATTAATTGAAGCAGTTAAAAGGGTACTTACACAGACTTCCACTTGCTTGTCAGCATCTGAGCTCATATACTTTGCTTTCCTTTACTTTCGATGAAATCATGCCTCTATTAAAACAAGTCTCTACATTAAACCTCATCCTGTTTATTCGGGGATATTACTAGCAATTCTCCAGTGTCTTCAGATCATCAGCTTTTCTTTTCTCCTGGATTTATTCCATGACCTATAAACACTGTTATTTTTTTCCATCTCAAAAAAAAAAAAACTTGTCTCTACTTCCTCTCCAACTGCTGCTCCATTTATCTGTTGTCCCTTGCAGCATACCTGTATTTAATATCTTTATTAATCTCCTACCATTCTCTCTTGGCATTCTAGTTAGGCTTTCACCCCTACCTGTGTATCAAAACTATTCTTGTCACCAGTGACCTCCAGGAATTCAAGTTCAAAGACCAGTTCTCTGTTCTCACCTTAATTGCCTTAGCAGCAGCATCTGGCATGACTGATTACTTCCACATCCTTAATGCACTGTTTACTGCCTTCTAGGACAGCACATACTCCTGGTTTTCCTTCTACCTCACTGGTCACTCCTGATCCTCCGCTTATCTTCTTCTCTACCTCATAACAGGGTTCAGTCCTGGGTCCATTTCTCTTTAAATATATTTATCCTCTATAGCCTGATTAACTCTCAAATTTACATCTCCAGCCAGGATCCCTCTTATATATCCAATTGCCTACTTGATATAGTTCATGTTTAAAACTTGAATTCCTGATTTTCATTCCAAAACATTCTTTACATCAGTGCTTCAGCTGATGGCAGTTCCATTTTACCAGGTGCTTAGGCCAGAAAGCTTGGAGAAACTTTTTACTTTTCCCTTTTTCACACCTCCCACATTATACCTTTCAGAAAATCATATTGACCTTACCTTCAAAACCTTCACAATTTCGCCGTTTCTCACAGTCTCCTGTGCTACCACTCTAGTCTGAGCCACCTCACATGGTCTCTGCTTCCAGCCTTGTTCCCCTTCTAACTAGTCAACATAGCAGCCAAAATGATCCTTTTAAAATATCAGATCCTCTACTCCAGACTTTGGAATAACTTCCCATGTCACCCAGAGTAGGAACCAACGTCCTAATAATGGCCTGATTTGCCCACTACCTGCTATCTCTTGCCCAAATTCAGGTTTCACTCCTTAGGCTTCTTTCTGCCTTAGGGATTCCCTTCTTGCTGGAACATTCTTCTAAATAGCTGCATATCTGATTCTTTCATCTGTGTCTCCTAGTTACGCTACCTGTCGCTTCTCTCCAGCTTCTTGTTTTCTATTTTTTGTCATCTTCTGTTTCTGATTTATTAATATTTATTACTTCTTGTTTATCTTCCCCTCCTGGAATGTAACTTTCATGAGGGAGGAGCTTTTTTTTTGATCCATTTTGTTCCCTAATGAATCTGAACTGCCCAGAATGGAACCTAGTATATAAGGCATTCAAGAAATGCTTGTTCAGTGAATGACTACATTGACTCGAGACATGGGGGAACATCTTATAATGGCCTAGTGCTCTTTGAAGGCAAAGGTGAGTTTGAGTCTTGCTTAAGAGGCTGGGACCAAATAGTAAAGGATAATGAGTAAGGTTGATTAAAGTGGAATGTTTCTATATATAATGTTTAAGTCTTTGTTAAAAAATCTAGAATGAAAGGAATGTCCTTTAATTCTTGTGAATATGGTTTCAATTTTTGCATACTCCTATGAATAACTAGAAAAATACTAGTGAATCTCTTTTCAAGAAAGCAGATTTAATACATTCAGGAAGTTAACACTGTTGTGAAAAATTGCAGATGTAATATTCCTTTATCTTAAGAGTCTTATTCACACCTGCCTTTTTATATTTGTTTGTAGTACCCAGACCTTCCTTTTCTGGCAGTATTATTATTATTTTTCAAGACAGTATCTGGCTCTGTCAGTGCCGTGATCATAACTCATTGCAGCCTCTAACTCAAAACAATTTTCCCTCCTTAGCCTCCCAAAGAGCTGGGACTACAGGGGTTCACCACCATTCCCAATTTATTTCTATTGATTGATTGATTGAGATGGAGTCTTGCTATGTTGCTCAGGCTGGTCTCAAATTCCTGGCCTCAAGCGATCCTCCCCAGTTGCTGGGATTACAAGTATGAGCCACCATACCTGCTACTGTAAAGTTTTTTGGTTTTTGTTCTTGTTGTTCTCTTAATTTTGATTATATGGATAGTGGTCCAATTATAAGACCAACGTTACCTTAACATTTAAGGAAACTTAGTATACAACAACTGAACAGTTTCCTGATGATGAACTGCTTAAAAGCAAAATTAAATGTATTCTCTTTTGCTCTTTAATTTTTGGTCCTGAATCAGTAACAATTGTCAGAAGAGTTCTTGCTCTTGGAACAAGAATGTACATTTGACTACTTAAAAGTTGGGAAGAAAATTTTAATGTTTTTATATGGCAGTAGTATTGAGTAGATATATTCTATTATTGACATCATTGCACGGAATTTTTTGTATAAGCTTAAGTAGTTTTATTTCCTCTACTTGCAGTTGGCTAAAAAAAAGAAAAGAACATGGAGGCAGATATAATTGCAAATCTTCGATGCAAGCTCAAAGAGGCTGAAGAAGAGCGATTAAAAGCTGCACAGTACGGTTTACAACTAGTAGAGAGTCAAAATGAATTACAGAATCAATTAGATAAATGTCGTAATGAAATGATGACCATGACTGAGGTAGGACTCTGGACTCCTCTGTCTGCAAGAGTGTGCTTAGCTATTGAAGATTTGTCCTGTCTAGCAATTAATAGTAGTAGTCGTTTATTCTTTTCTGAAGATTTTAGATCTGGTTCCCATCCTGCTCCACCCCTGTTAAAAAAGAATGAACTAAATGAATTCCTATTATTCTTTCCAACCTAGTATGTTCAGAATTTGAAAGATCCTGTTATCATTACTCTCTTTGCCACATTTACCACCAGATTTTGCTTTGTCTGCACACTTCCTAGATGACCTCACTTGTTTCAGACTTCTAAACATCTAGGTGCTCCATGACACTACACCAAGCCCTTAGTTCTCCTCTAAAATCTAGGTCTGTGTGTTCAGCTGCCCACTAATAGACTTCTCAAACTCAACACAGAAGAGTGGATTTTCTGTCATTAACCAAATATTCTTTTACAATTTTCTTTAACTTGTTTAGTAAATGTAACAGCATTCAGTTTCTTGAATACCAAAAATCTTTGATATATTCTTGGTTTCTTTATATACCAAAAATATAAAACTTTTAGTCAATATCTTTCCTTTATTTCTCACATTTAATTCATTAATAAGTTCTAAGAACTAGACTACAAAGCATCTATCTTTGCTACTGCCACCATATTCCAGACCGCTATCATGTCTCCTGGACAACTACTGTAGCCTTCCAACCTGGTTACCTGCTTCCATTGTTGCCATTCATGCCATTCATTCTTCACTCAGCGTCTAAGTGGTTATGCAAAAATATGCAAAGGTCATGTTACAGCCCTGCTAAAAACCATACAACAGCTTCTTCTTGTATTTACAACAAAATCTGAGCTCCTTACTTTGGTTTGTAGATCCCTATGTGACCTGACCCCTGCCAAGCTTCTGACCTCATCTCAAACTGCTTTGCCTTATTCTTCGTTATATTAGTCCTCCGTTATGGGCTTTATACCAGCTATTGCCTTTTTTTAATCTGTTTACCTCTCTCTGCTCTTGGATTGAGTCCTCAAACTTAAGCTTTTCAGTTAAATATGTCACCTCAGCAGAGAGGCCAACCCTGACTATGTAATGTAAAGTTGCCCAATTCACTCTTTTTTTTGAGACAGGGTCTTGCTCTGTCACCCAGGCTTAAGTCCAGTGGTGCAATCTCAGCTCACTGCCTACTCCAATTCCCAGGTTCAAGAGATGCTCCTGCCTCAGCCTCCCAAGTAGCTGGGATTATAGGTGTGTGCCACCACACCTGGCTAATTTTTGTATTTTTAGTAGAAACGGGGTTTTACCATGTTGGCCAGGCTGGTCTTGAACTCCTAGCGTCAAGTGATCTGCCTGCCCCTGCCTCCCAAAGTGCTGGGATTACAGGCACAGGCCACTGTGTCCAGCCCTGATTCACTCTTAATTATCTGCATTGCTAATTATCTCGATTATAAACTACATGAGAGAGGGAATTTTGTATGCCTTGGTCACGGCTATATCCCCAGTGCCTGCCACACAAATATTTCTTATAAGAGTGAATGAATAAATCTGTGTAATTTAGCAAATGCTCAGTAACATATTTAAACTTGAATCTCTACATTGTAAATATGGCAGGTAAAAATTATCTATAACAGGTAAAAATAACTAGTGATGGCAACCTTTGTGTTTCTACTTAGTACTGTTCTAAACCAAGAACTGAGTACCAAGTCATAAAGGCAAAGTAAAGATTGTAAATATCACTAAGAGTAGGAAATAAAACTGTGTTATACTTAATAATTTTGAGTAATAACTTGTGAAATTTCAGTGTTCATTTAACTGTTAATGCCCTTTGCCTTATTTTAAAATAAAATGGCTTTTGAGGAGAATATTTTATCATTTTTTAAAGCTTGTTGAAGGAGTTTATACTCATACCCTTTTTAATGTCTAAACCTCCCTGTGAGTAAACAAAATTCCTTTTAATTACTCCTTTTGTCTCAGCACTACATTCATTCTGGTAGACATTTCATGAACATTTCTCAGATGACTAGGTTCTGAAAGTAAAGGCTAATTCAATATTTCTTTTTTTTCAACTATTTTACTACTACGTTGTGTTCAGAGCTACAAGTAGAACATCTCATTAGGAAAACTTAAATGCTATTAAATATTTTTTGTTGTAAGCAGAGATTACTTGATATGTTCACATACTATGGAGTACTTTTTACTTCCTTGACAGCACACGGAAGCAGTAAGGTATCCCTTGCATGGGTTTAACATAGTCTCAAAATACACCTAAGGCATTTGTTAAGACCGATTAACTACAAAGTTATTCCAGGTTTAACATGTTATTTGGAAAGCAGCAAATGCTTGAAATAAGAATGGAACAGTTGAAGTTTGAAAACTGATTATAAATGGCTTTAGGCTATGTTTATGTAACTGAATTGTAATTGAATCTGTTTTCAGAGTTATGAACAAGAAAAATATACCCTTCAAAGAGAAGTTGAACTCAAGAGTCGAATGTTAGAAAGTTTCAGCTCCGAATGTGAAGTTATTAAACAACAACAAAAAATACACCTGGAGAAATTGGAACAACAACTAAGCAGAAGCCATGGGCAGGAAGTGAATGAACTAAAAACTAAGGTTGGGATATCTGTGTATTTCAGAGCAAAATATTCCATGTTTATGCAGCCATTTGTAAACTTTGGATGATAAAAATTTCCTTAAATGTCAGCTTTCCAAAATAGCCAAGATCTAACTCTTCATTATCTTAGTACTGAGGGGGAACACTGAGATAGGAGAGATTGCCAACGCGACTTGTATAAACTACATTCTACTAATTAAATATAATTATTAATTTTTGGTCACTGAATACTTGTGAAGGTTTAGTTTAGTGACTAACTTGGCCTCCTTGCTGATAGTACAGCAGTTTGCAGAAAGCCTGGTCTCCTAGCCTTCTCTGCAACCATTGGTATGCTCTGTAATTCTGTAAAAACTCACCAGTAGTTTCTTACCAATTAATATGCATTACAAATGACACTTTATCGTTTGTTTACTGAAGATAAACTAATGTCTGTGATTCAGTTCTTAAAATAATTCTGTGGCTCGGTATAGAATTATTATCTCCATATACCAGATGAGAGAGCTACTGTTGAGACAGATTGAGTGAATTTAACACAATTCAAGAGCTAGAAATTCTCCATCTAGATTTGAACCGAGGCTGTCTGACTCCAAAGGCTATGAATCCCTCTACATAGTCTAACAACACATTACACTGGCTCCATTTTAAACATAAATGCAAGATAAATGATTGGTTGGTGGTTTTCCCTTTTGGTATTCCCAGCTACCCAATGCTTTCAGGTTGCTTCTAAGGAATCTAGAACTTTTTATCATGGATCTGCTTTGTGTATAGTGTGTGCTCTGACTTTTCCAGACACCTCTCTACCAAAACTTACCTGACTTGTCCTCCTTTCTCAGAAGTCTGTATTCCAATTTTCAGCTTCTTGTGTAGACACTTCTAAGATTTTCATATTTCTGGGTACCACCTATACTATACTTAATGTCTCACTGACTCTCTTTAAATGTTTTCTGATTTTAAGAAACATCCATGAAATTACATATTTAAGCTTGCTTATTTTGTCCTAGTATACACTGAAACAAACATAGCTATCTAAATATGTCTTTGTGTAAAACATAATCATCTTGCATACCACTCTGACAGGTAATATCATCCAGCTTGTCTGAAACTAATCTGATTTGAGGCCTTAATGACTGATAATGATGTGCGTTTTTCCCCCTCTGTATGTTATTTTTACTTTTGCAGTAGCTTTCATTACCTAAATAAAAAAAGAATAATATAGGGAGTATTCAGAGACTGAGGCAAGGCTAGTTATAGAGATGGCTTTTTTTTTTTTTTTTTTTTTTTTGGTGTAACAAAGAGTAAATTAGTGAAATATTTTGTTTTACTGATTTTTCTCAAATCACTTATTCCAAAATTTGGAGGCTTTTTTAGTGCCTTTTCTTCTCTTATTTCTCACATTTAATTCATCAAGTTCTAAGAACCTGACCTACAAAACATCTGTCTACGCTACTGCCACTCCAGTCCAGACCTTCATCATCTCTTCCCTGGACTACTGCTGTACCTTCTGACCAGGTTGTGTGGAAGCTTTAAAGATTTTTCTATTTCTGTGTACCACCTATGCTATTACTTAATTTATCATGGACTCTTTAAATATTTTCCGAAACATCAATGAAATTACATATTTAAGCTTATTTTTTTCTAGTATACACTGAACCAAACATAGCTATCTAAATACACATGTTTAGATGTGATACTGAGATTAACTGAGCAGCTGTCAAATGAAAGAGTATTCAAGCCTGCTTCCATTGTTTCTCTTCATGCCACTCATTTGTTACACAGTAGCCAAGTGGTCAGCAACACAGTGCCTCCAGATTGCTTCTAAGACATCCAGACCCACCTTGATTACTCATGGATTATTTCTGTGCTTATTAAAAAAGGTCTGTCACTATCTGTTACAAGATGCCTAACCTTGGGCAAATAGGAAACTCCAATAGTGTCATTATTCAGTAAGATTAATAGTGTCATCATTCAGTAAGTTTGGATCAATCAGTTCAATCAATGATGTTTTTTAGAAAAAAACTTTCAATTTATGACTGATTTTTTTTTCTTTAGATAGAAAAACTGAAAGTGGAATTAGATGAAGCTAGGCTTAGTGAAAAGCAGCTGAAGCACCAAATAGATCATCAGAAGGAACTCCTCTCTTGTAAATCAGAGGAACTGCGCATAATGTCTGGACGTGTGCAGGAAAGCATGTCTTCAGAGATGCTGGCTCTTCAAATTGAGCTGACAGAAATGGAGAGTATGAAGGTAATTTTTATGTCATGTGTTTCTCAGGTTTTCTCTTTTTTCTGGCATATTTTTATATGTTTTGGTAATAATTCTTAAGACCTTGTTTGAAGGCTGAAACATTTTTTGACCTAACTTGCATCTAACTAATTAAAAAATGCTTTTTTTTAGGTGGATGACTTCATTCATAACATAGCTTTAGATTATATGATTATATGTAAGGCAAACTTTACTTTTAGATTAATGAAACCTCTGGAAGAATTTAGAGGCGTATACTCTGATCCCGATTTTTATCATAAGAGCCCAGTATAAAATGTTGGTTCAGTGGAAGTTGAAATGCATGTGAACTTAGTTTTTTCACTGAAAGCTAAAGCTAATTAAAAATTAAAGCCTTAAATTTATAGAGGAAAAGGGGCAGTCTCTAAAGGCTTTTACTTGTTTCCCCGTAATTTAACAGTAATAGTAATTTCTATTACTTTAGTATGTACCTGACAACTTTTGACTGGTTCTTTACTTTTAATTTTGGATGTGAACCACAACTTAATTTTTTATTGACTCTCTTTAAATATTTTCTCATTTTAGGAAACATCAGTGAAATTACATATTTAAGCTTGCTTATTTTTTCCTAGTATACACTGAAACAAACATAGCTGTCTAAATATGCCTTTGTGTAACACATAATCATCTTGCATACCATTCTGACAGGTAATATCATCCAGCTTGTCTGAAACTAATCTGATTTGAGGCCTTAATGACTGATAATGATGTGCGTTTTTCCCCCTCTGTATGTTATTTTTATTTTTGCAATAGCTTTCATTACCTAAATAAAAAAGAGTAATATAGAGAGTATAATTGAGATAAACTGAGCAGTTGTCAATGAAAAAGTATTCAAGAGAATGTCCTCGTTTTCACTTCCTATTAAATAGACCACCCTCACAGAAGAAGTGAATGAACTACAATACAGACAAGAACAGCTAGAACTTCTCATTACTAACCTAATACGCCAGGTAGACCGGCTTAAAGAGGAAAAAGATGAGCGAGAGAAAGAAGCAGTTTCTTACTATAATGCTCTAGAGGTACTATGATTACAGTAACATCATCTTTTCCAATTAATCATAACTTATTTTCTTGCTAATCTAATCTCTATTATCTAAATTGTTTTCTTTTGAATTCAGAAAGCTCGTGTAGCAAATCAAGATCTTCAGGTGCAGTTGGACCAGGCACTCCAGCAAGCCTTGGATCCTAATAGTAAAGGCAACTCTTTGTTTGCAGAGGTACTTATAAGTATTCTAACTACTAAATTGGCATTTTCATTTACTACAAGAACAATTAAGCATGTTAATATTTTGTAGGTAGAAGATCGAAGGGCAGCAATGGAACGTCAGCTTATCACTATGAAAGTCAAGTATCAGTCACTAAAGAAGCAAAATGTATTTAACAGAGAACAGATGCAGAGAATGAAGGTATAGAGCTATCACTATCAAAGGTTTATTAAACAAATTTTCTTTCGTCATTATGTATACAAATACATCAAAGAAACTATCTTTTCCTGCAAGAAGTGTACTTATATAGTTATTTCTAGAACTGCATGATTTCAAAAAATCAGTTTTTAAATTGATCAAAAGATGTATTTATACTTAAAAAATAATCTTGGAATATATATTTAGTAATAGTGTATTTAGCAATCATTGTTTTTTTGTTTGTTTTAATGGTTATTCACTAGCCTTGATAGGGAAGCACAAATCTTTTTTTTTGTAGAGTAGAAAAAGAAAAATACTTATTTCCTTTTCTTGGCGTGATGTCTTTCCAAGCATAGCCATAGGGTTCCTATTCACCATTCCTCTGCTCTTTCACCAAGGCTTATTATGGAATGAAATTTGGATTATTCAGGGTTCCCTTTCCTTGTAGTCTCTCAAGTCAAGCACATAGACCCTTTTAATTTTACAGATTTTGTTGGTCATCATTCTAGCCAAAGAAGAAGTAAAAGAAAATCATGTGGAAATTAGAAAGATTCCAATATTGTAACAATCCTTAGAATTCTGATCCCTCATCCACTGTACCTTACTCTACCGAGGTAGTAATTGGAATCTGGAAAGGCTTCCTTCCTTTTATTCAGGATGATGGGCTTTACCAAAGAAATGGGAAAGGTCAATGATGAAACTTGGGAGTTAGGTGGATTTGTGGTTTTGTCACTTAATAGCTCTGTGGCCTTGGACAAGTATTTTAATTTTCAAAGCATCAGTTCCTCATCTATAAAGTGGAGATGACAGAACCCTCCTCTTAGAAGTGTCCTACAGTTAAAGCGTAGTAAAATACTTACCTACGGCCGGGCACGATGGCTCACGCCTATAATCCCAGCACTTTGGGAGGCCAAGGTGGGTGGATCACGAGGTCAAGAGATCGGGACCATCCTGGTCAACAAGGTGAAACCCCATCTCTACTAAAAATACAAAAATTAGCTGGGCATGGTGGTGCGAGCCTGTAGTTCCAGCTACTCGGGAAGCTGAGGCAGGAGAATTGCTTGAACCCAGAAGGCAGAGGTTGCAGTGAGCCGAGATCGTGCCATTGCACTCCAGTCTGGGTAACAACAGTGAAACTCCATCTCAAAAAAAAAAAAAAAAATACTTACCTACTAGTTGGCAAATGAGTGTTTAATGAACAACAGCTGTGAATTTTATTTCTAAGGATTTCCAGACTGTGCTGCTTCATTTCCTGAGACTCTCCTTTCTGAGAAGTATTTCTTTATAAATTTTCTTACATTTACCCTTAGTTTTCTTACAGTGTTTGTTGGGGGTACTTTTAATCTCCACTGTTCATGATGTACCAAAATATGTTTAGAGACTAGAAGCATTCTGAATCTTAGACTAAGGCCTAGCCTCCAATCTGAAACAGGAACAAAAAGGATAAGTTTAAAAATGCTAAAAGTCATTTTCAAGCTTGTATCATTGCTTGCTTTACTCAACACTATAGTTAAACTAACTGGCACTTTTTTCAACTCCAGAAATTTCCAAAGGCAGAAGGAAATGCTAGGTTTAGAGTCTCCCTCTGATAGCTTTGCAACTCCAGATTTAGGGAGTGGGGAGCTATAATTAGGTAAGCTGAGTGCTATCCTAAAAAAATTAAAACATGGTCCGGGCGTGGTGGCTCACGCCTGTAATCCCAGCACTTTGAGAGGCCAAGGCAGGCAGATCACCAGAGGTCAGGAGTTCGAGACCAGCCTGGCCAACATGGTGGAACGTCGTCTTTACTAAAAATACAGAAATTAGCCAGGCCTGGTGGCAAGTGCCTATAATCCCAGCTACTCAGGAAGCTGAGGCTGAGGCAGGAGAATCGCTTGAACCCGGGAGGCAGAGGTTGCAGTGAGCCGAGATCGCGCCATTGCACTCCAGCCTGGGGGACAAGAGTGAGACTTCATCTAAAAAAAAAATATATTGAAGATTGCCCCAGTATCCCGTGAATAGCCTTTTATCTTTGCTTTTCATGTCATTTGTGAATCTAACATTTGTGGCTGTGAGTAGCTTAGTTTTCCCCACTTAATTAGAATTAATTAAAATTTTTGAGAAACCCATCAGACCCTTAATGAGAGCTAGTGCTTATGATAAACAGTGTGCAGCATTTAGCCAGGCTTACTTACCAGTTTAGTGGTGTGCTTTTGGACCACAGCCATGCAGGTCAGTTTTATGTTTCACAAAACTACAAATAATTTTATTACAGACTTTAGTTATCATCCATAAGTAGTCAAAATAAGTATTCAGATGTTATGTCTACAACAAAAGTTATCATTAGATTAGAAATAGCTAGTTTCCAGAATGAGTTCACAGTAATATAGTACAAAATATGAATGTATCAAAAAAGTAGTTATCGACTTTATCTCACTTAATTTTATTAGAGGGGGTAATTTTGTTTTTCTAGTTACAAATCGCCACATTGCTACAAATGAAAGGGTCTCAAACTGAATTTGAACAGCAGGAACGGTTGCTTGCCATGTTGGAGCAGAAGAATGGTGAAATAAAACATCTTTTAGGTGAAATTAGAAATCTGGAGAAATTTAAGGTATGTATAACATTTTAAAAAACAAACAACCAAATTTTGATCTGAATATCTTAAAATTTGGTTTGTATTTTAAGTTGAAAATACTAATAAATATCTTGTGGGAGATACTTTGAGACTAAGTAAATGCCTCTTTCTCCTTATGCTTAAACATCCATTCATGATTCTTGCCTGAAACATAATTCTGTGATGATTGCTAAATGGTAATTCCATCACTTCTACATTTATTAGTTGGAATTCTAACGAAGGGACAGAAAAGAAAAATCTTTTCCCTCACTTATTCATTCATTTATTTATATCGGGATAGCCTCATGGATTCTCATTTTATCCTATGTGTTATAATCCATTGCTTGCTTTATTTACTCTGATATTCAAATTGTCTCAGATTTGGTAGTCGAAGTGCTCGTATTTGAGTAGTTTCTTACTGTATGGCACAATAAGGTATTCCTAGCTAACCTGCGCCAGCCCTGGGATTATCTTTTCTTCAAGGAGCATTGGTTTCTTTTAGTGGAAAATGGTATTTGTCTAAGTGTGTGTGTGTGTGTGTGTGTGTGTGTGTGTGTGAATTCACCTGTGTTTTCTACTAGTACTTGTGTGGTTTCGTTTTTTACATTTAGGTATCTGATCCCGATTGAAGCTTATTTTTGTATATAATTTGAGGTATAAATCTAATTTTATCTTCTACCTAATAAGTAGGCAGTTGTCCCAGAGTCATTTGATTTAAAAAAAAAAAATCAATCTTGACCCTAGTGATTTGAGTTGACACCTTTATCATGCATCAAGTCTCCATGTATACTTGAGTCTGTTTCTAGATTTTCTGTCTACTACATTGGTCTGCTTCTGCGTGTGTCAGTACCACACTGCTTTATTAATTATAAAGGCTTTAAAATATGTTTATCTGGTGACTATTTCCTCACTATACATTCTTTTTTGGTGTTTTCCTGTCTGTTTTTGAATGTTTTTGTTTACAAACATCTTGTCTAGCACCAAAAAAAGTTTGTTGGCTTTCTATTAAAATTGCATTAATTTAAGATTTTAAGTTAAGTAACTTGGGAACATTGATATCTTTTAATTAACCAACCTCCTAATGAACTAAAGTTTGTAAATGACAAATTTTTGTACATGTTAATAACCTCTTAGGCATTCTAAATTGTAGCCATTAGTACATCATAAAATCTTAAGTTTACATAACTTTATTTCTGCCTCTTACAAAAAGTGTTGAAAGGACTGCAAATTTGGTTAAATTGGCAGCCTTATGTTTTCCACCAGTGGGCTCCGAACTATACTTTGAAAATTATGGCTTTAAATCAGGGTAAAGTTATTTATAACCTCTGAAATTGTTTCACGTTTTTAAGCAGATTTACATTTTTTATACCCCTGGAGAAATGTATAGTTTCCGTCTAAGTCTCAGAAGAGCTTGCTCTACATTCTTGCCTGGGGTGGGGAGAAGACTATCAGAAGAGGGGGATACCAAATATAAATGTAATGCTCTCATCTTTTTTTTAATGTTTTTCCAGTTTATGGTTTTGTTACAAAGGCCAGAATTCAGTCCAGCAGGCATTTATTTCTTCTATTTTTAAAAGCCAGGAGAGGGAAGCCAAAAGATGTTGGTATGGTTAGAAGCCTAGGCTTTGGAGTCAGATCTGGGTTCAGATTTTCTCTTCTTGAATTACTTTCCTCTGCATTTGGAGCCTGCTTCCTTATCTATAAGAGAAGGAATGTTAATTCTTTTACCTACTTCAGAGGCGAATGAGTTAAATGGGTAGTTCTTAGCATAGTAAATGCCAAGGGGTAAGTAAATTCAGTAAGTGATGGTGCTATTGTTAATAAACATACACTAACCTCTTATTTGTTACTTATTTTAAGTAACACAAATTTTTGCTTTTTAAAGAATTTATATGAAAGTATGGAATCTAAGCCTTCAGTCCACTCTGGTGCTCTGGAAGATAACACCTATTATACAGATTTACTTCAGATAAAGCTGGATAACTTAAAGTAAGTGTCTGTGTTGGTGGATGTAAAGATGGACATGTCACTTGCTTAGAATAGTAGTGTCAGTGACTTCAAAGTTTTTTTGAAGTTGCCAAAGGAAATTATCCGAAAAGAAAGGCAACAAAAATATCTTTGTGCAGATATTCATGCATGAATACATTTGAAAGACTGTTTCCTCCTTTGTCCATTTCCTTTCAAGAATGCATGAATATTTTTTAAATTTGACACTACTGTTGTTAAAGATTATTTAAATTGTTTACTATTTGTTTGTTACTAAAACCACAGAAAAATGTATTTTTAAGTAAGTTCAAATATGCAATGAAATATTTATACCACTACACTTATTTATATTATATGCTGTTTTAATACTCCTTGGTTCCCCTTTTTTATTGTCATAGCAAAGAAAATGAAAGCACTAAAGGTGAATTGTCCATACAGCGAATGAAAGCATTATTTGAGAGCCAACGGGCTCTGGATCTTGAGCGAAAACTTTTTGCAAATGAAAGATGCCTACAGCTTTCAGAAAGTGAAAATATGAAACTGAGAGCTCAACTAGATGAATTAAAACTAAAATATGAACCTGAAGGTATATATGTCTTACGTATTTTGTCTTTTAAATAATGAGTAATCCTGAGAAATTATATCAAATTATTTTCTTACTGTAGTTTTATGCAAATCCTATTACAAATTCATTTGTATTTATATACCTGTAGTTAATAAGGCAAATTTATTCTGTAAGATATGTGGAAAAATTAAGAAAGAACTGGATACTGAGTGTGCATGAATATATCATATATCCTTTTTGGATATCTAAATTCATATTGTAGAGTAGAAACTTGGTATTTGAGACTTTCCCATTTTAAGATTACAGTATTTTTTGTCATACCAAATAGTTTAATGATGTTGAAGCAGCTGATGTTTGGAACCTATATGAGGTAGGACTGTTTATAGAAAATCTAAAATAATGGGAACTTTAAAAGGTGGATCTTTATCTCTGCCCCGATCTAGGACAAGTAAGTACTCCACCGTATCAAGATTCAGGCTTCTTGCATGTTTTGGTCTGCAGCCATCCTGTTGAGCACAATTTGATCATGCAGCATCACCTGCCGACGAGAAAGGCTAAGAAACTCAGTCTTGATTCTCAGGGTCCATGTTCCTTCCTAACTAAATATTGGAAATTCTTTTATTAAGGAAGAACAGTGAGCCAGGTGTGCATGGTGGCTCCTGCCTGTAATCCCAGCTCTTGGGGAGGCAGAGGGGGAAGGATAGCTTGTGTGCAGGAATTTGAGATTTGCTTGGGCAATGTAGCAAGACCCCATTCTCCAGAAAAAGGGGCAGAGGGGTAAGGAAAGAACAGTGAAACATACTAGGGAACATCTAGCAAGTCTAATCACTGAGCTAGAAAGTAGCCTAACCATACAGTTTCTGCATCATGTATACTACAGAGAGTGAATTTTATTGTAATACAAATTAAAAAACAAAAGGCAAAATGTGAAGAAGTCTTAAGAATGGGATGGTTCTACAATGCCCCCTCCCCTGAAAGAGTGTTACATGTTTTAGATTAAGGATTCCTAACAAGCTTTTGTCCCTGCACTCTCCACATGCCTCAGTCTGTCTTCATATTTTCTCAGTGAACTGCTGTGATTCTCAACAATAGTGGGGAGGTTGCCAAAAATAGGAAGGTTTCTACACAATTGAAAAGGCTTCTCTTTCTCTTACTCTTTTTTTCTTCCATGATTCTGATAGGCTCCCTGATTAAGAATTATCCATTATGAATTTCAAACATTTGTTGAACTGAACACAGCAAATAGGAGGCGAGGTAGTGAATTCTGATAATGTGGGTTTCAAAGGAGCAGTGCAAGAAAAAGGGAAATCATAGTCTAAGAGTAACAATGCAGAGTAAAAACAACCCCTTGTGCTACCAGGGTTCTCAGACTCCACTAACATTTTGATTTTGAAAATTAAATATACTGATAATGGGGATAGGGAAAAGATGCTAGAGCAATTAATTCAGTGGCTTGTGTATAACCTGCTTAGATAGAATGATGTTAGGCCATGAGGATAGAAGGCATTGCAGTAGTCTTCAATGAGACATGATAGGGTTGGGCTAGGGAAGTAGCCATCATAAAAGTAGTCTGATTCTGCATATATTTTGTTGGTAGAGCTAACAGGCATATATTACCAATGTTCAGAAAGTTTGACCTATTCTTAGTTAATTCTTCTAACACACAATACTCAGTGAAGTGGGTGCTTTTAATCCCCATTTTTATCTGTAATCCTTCATTACAGATAAAATGAAGTCAAAGAGGTTAAATAATTCCCCAAAGACATGGCTGCCAAATATGAGGATTAGGATTCAGACCTGGACTCCTTATCTCCACACTGAGATCTGATGAACCACCTTTATCAAAACTCCAAAAGAGAACACAAGCTCATGCCTGGAATCAAAATACTGAATTCCCAAGGAAAAATGTATAGCCAAAGAAACTTTAAAATACATAATTTATGTAGATTCCATGCTAATTAATAAAAGGTAGAAACAATACATTTCAGTGAGGAGATGGGTGCATTTTAAAAGAATGGAAAAAGTTATAACTAGTTCTGGCTTCTTGTGCTGATTGTGTCTTTGTTTTCTTACATTTTTTTCCCCCATTCATTTTTATTCTCAGAGACAGTTGAAGTGCCTGTACTGAAAAAGAGGCGTGAGGTGCTGCCTGTGGATATAACCACCTCTAAGGATGCATGTGCCAACAACAGTGCTGCCGAGGGAGAAGTTCATCGATTACTGCCTCAGAAACAGGAGACACAGTCCTGTCCTAGCAGTTTAGAAGATAACAACTTGCAACTAGAAAAATTAGTTTCTATAAACACACCAGTAGGCACTCTGTCTCCTCACAAAAATCTGCCCATGGATATGCAGCTAAAGAAGGAAAAGAAGTGTGTGAGAATCATAGGAGTTCCAGCTGACTCTGAGGCCTTAAGTGAAAGAAGTGGAAACACCCCTAACTCTCCCAGGTCAGTGTCCTCTTTTCCTCAAGGCAACCAGCAGACCTCTTCATCTCTCCTGTCTCGCTGCATGAACTGTGCTGTCTGTTTCTTTATCTACTTTCTTAGTATTGCATGCAGTATAATTCCTCAGTTTCATCTACCTACTTTCAACTTTTCCAGAACTTTGAGAAAGACTAAAATGATTGCAAAGGGAAAGTACTCCTGAATAAGCGAATCACATTAAAAAGTCACACATTTCTATTTCATGAAAGGAAATATCACAGTCTAACACGTCTCTGAATGTTTTATCAGTTTGAATAAATGTACTGTTATTTTTCTCTTGGTCCAAGCATGACCATGAAAGAAAAATTAACTCACTTTCTCAAAGGGCTTTCCAGTAGTCTAAGAAATTTCAGCCTTCTAGAAAATGTAGGTGAACTTTTTATGTCTTTTAAAATTGCTAATCCTAGGCATTCAGAAATGGGCTTTGATACTTATTTTGACATTTTTACATATCAAGGCTAGTTCATTTTCATTGTTTCAAACCTCTAGTTTCTGCATAATTGAGTTTGTGACTAAAAGAAATAGTGTCAGACATGTATGTCTGAAGGAATTAATGTCCCAAGGGCTTTGTCCTTTAAAAAAATAATCGAGGTCAGAAGGTAAGAGAAAGTGAACGAAAGGGAAAAGTAAGTAGCAGTGGCTAGGCTAGAGTTCTGGATGTGTACAGCAGGAGAAATGAATGAGGAAATTGGAAAAGTAAAAGAAAGATGAAAGATGTCTGCACGCAGTGGGATGCTAGAGGCATTTAAAACAAATACCGGTAGGCATTCAAAAAGTTAAGCACATTGATGTAACAATAGGTAACAATAGCTAGCTTGGATTATTTCCTATGAAATGAGATCTTGAACGTGCTACTAGGGCTACATTCGTCTTAGAGAGTAGAGACAGATTAATAAGACATTTTACTAACGTACATTTGAGTAGAAAGAGTATGACACAGCCCACATCATATAAAAGGGCTTCCTTATATGTTTTATCTGATTTCTCTCCAAGTCTTCAGTGCTACTAAATGTAATACTCAACAGTAAAAGCACTTCAACAATGTTAGCTGCTATTATTATAAAGAATAGTAATTTATTACTCCCTCCTTGGATTTTTATATAATGTTATAATCTGTGAGTCACATAAAATAAAAGTGCTATTCTTAAGTAAAAAGTAACTTCAAATGAATATCTGCCGCATACACATGGTTTCAAAGAGTTCTGAAACAAATGCAGCAGATTATGCCTGTTTATATGTGATGCATTGTGTAAATGTGCTTGGCCAGTGTGTATTTCTGGAGGTGGATTTCCAGAATTGATAAGTACCAACCTTGCTGTCTGTATTGTCTTCATTTCTTTTTCTGCCTTTTTTGCTTGATAAAAATTACTTAAGCAAATGTATGTGGCTAACTGACTCTAATTAATTAGCACATTGGAAACTTTTTGTCTTGTTAGTTAAACAAAAAAATAAAATACCACAAAACATTTGTGTGTGTGTGTGAGTCCATCTGCTAACTTGTTTCCAACTCTGTTTTCTACATGTTTTGCGTAGATGCACAATCCTAAGATAATTTTGGAACAGTAAATATGGCTTTTATTGGGAACTTTACTATTGCATGCTTTATAAAACTAATTGGTGTTCTTGTTATCAAGAATCTTTACATGCCTTTAAAAAAATACCTCTCCACTGTTTACCTTTTCTTTATTTTGCTAGTTGAAACTCAGTATTTTACTATGAAACAAATAGACATCTATTTGTACAGCACAAGATTCCACGTTATTTTTGTCTTGCACTTAGCCTTTTGTATGTCATTTACAATTAAAATATTGCTGTAACATTTCAGTTTTTGTGTTAAGTGCTTATCATGATAGGTGCTCTGTCATATTTTAATTCTTTAATTTAGGCCTTGCCGTGACTTTGTAAAGATACTCTTTAAACTTAAAAAGTAATTGAGCCTATTGATATAAAAAGACTCTCAGTGAGACAGTAACTTAATATTCTTAATGGTATTGAACTATATTTTTTTCCTTGAAGATCATGCCTCATTGGAGGCCCATTATACTGGGGGTTTGTTTTCTTCAATCCTTCTTAACCACATTTGAATTCAGAGTGGATACTTTAATGCCTGTAGGTTAGCTGCTGAATCAAAGCTTCAAACAGAAGTTAAAGAAGGAAAAGAAACTGCAAGCAAATTGGAAAAAGAAACTTGTAAGAAATCACACCCTATTCTATATGTGTCTTCTAAATCAACTCCAGAAACCCAGTGCCCTCAACAGTAAAGACTTTTCTTTAATAAGAGTACAGTACCACTTGCCTCCAAAGTTACTGTGCTGCGTAGTTAAGATCGTCTTTATCTTATGTATACCACCTTCTGGGTTATTTAGATCTATTTATTGTGGCAGGACCTGGCATTTTCATGTTCCTTTGACCAAGTGTTCAGAATTTGCTTGACTCTAACCTGGAGAGTTCTTTGAGTGATTATCCATCCTGGAGTGTCTATGACAGTGAGTAAACTATTAACTGAAGGAAAATATTGTAATTAATATATCTATTTTCTGTACTGTATATAGATTAAGTGATAAAAACACTTAATCTACCTTCAGAGCCATATATTTGAGAACACTCAAATCATTATATTTTCCTATGTACTTTTAAAAATAAACTTAGTTTTAAACTCTGTTATAAAACTAGAAAACATGTCTTAAAAATATACATTATATGGTTTCAGGATTTTGTCAGTGTTTAAAGAACCAATGTTCATTCATCTTTGTGTTTATATACATGATTTAAATTTTGTCTCACATAATTTTGAAATTTTAAATAAAACAGCAATGATTTATTTTTTTTTCTAATTTCTTACTCTGTATAGGTAAAAGGGTGTTATCAAAAGGGAATAGAAAGTACTTTGGGAGGCTGAGGCAGGTGGATCACTTGAGCCCAGGAATTCGAGACCAGCCTGGGCAACTTGGCAAAACCCCGTCTCTACAAAAAATTAGCTGGGCATGATGGTGCACACCTGTAGTCCCAGCTACTCGGGAGGCTGAGGTGGTAGGATCATCTGAGCCCAGTAAGGACATTGAGGCTGTAGTTGATCTGTGATCACACTACTGCACTCCAGCCTGAGCAACACAGCAAGACCCTGTCTCCAGGAAAAAAAAAAAGAAAAGTGGGGGGAATAAATAAGGAGAAAAAAGAAACTTCAGGAGTTCTTAATTCCCTTACATATAATTGTATATATAATTTTATGGTTAATTATATGTATACACAGATGGTCCCTGACTTAGCAATGGTTTCACTTAATGATTTTTCGACTTTTCAGTGGTAGAAAAACAGTATACATTCAGTAGAAACTGTACTTCAAGTACCCATATGACCATTCTGTTTCTCACTTTCAATACAGTACTCAATAAATTACATAAGATATTCAACACTTTATGGTAAAATAGACTTTGTGTTAGATGATTTTGCCCAGTAGTAAGCCAGTGTAAGTGTTCTGAGCACATTTAAGGCAGGCTAGGCTAAGCTGTGATATTCATTAGGTTAGATGTCTAAATGCATTACAGTGAGTATATTGAATTATAACCCCATTATAGGTCTAGGAGCACCTGCACATACTAGGGTTCTCCTGAGAAATAAAATCAATAGGATGTGGGTATGTGTATAGAGAAAGATTTATTTTCAAGAATTGGTTCACATGGTTTTGGGGGCAAGTCCAAACTTGTAGGGTGGGCCAGCAGACTGGAGACCAGGGAAGGGAAGAGCTATGTTGAGTTCAAGTCCGAAAGCCATCATGCTAGAGATCCAGGGGTTAACTGCACTGCAGTTCAAGTTCAAAGGCTATCTGCATCAGAGTTTCCCTTTGCTGGAGGAGGTGAGTCTTTCCATCTAGGACTTCAACTCATTGGATGAAACCCATTCACATTAGAAAAGGCAATCTGTTTAAATCCACTGATTTAAATGCTGATCTCATCCGAAAACACTCTCACAGAATCATTCAGAATAATGTTCAACCACATGTCTGGGCATCATGGGCCAGTTAAGTTGACATTCACAATGGGTATCTGTTCCAATTGGATTAGTCTATTGAAGCCAGGTGTGGTGGCTCACACCTGTAGTCCCAGCACTTTGGGAGGCCGACGGGGGCAGATCACCTGAGGTCAGGAGTTTGAGACCAGCCTGGCCAACATGGTGAAATCCTGTCTCTACTAAAAATACTAAGATTAGCTGGGTGTGGTGGTGTGCACTTATAACCCCAGTTACTCAGGAAGCTGAAGTAGGAGAATCACTTGAACCCAGGAGGCAGAGGTTGCAGTGAGCGGAGATGGGGCTACTGCACTCCAGCCTGGGCAACAGAGTGAGGCTCTGTCTAAAAAAACAAAAAGAGATGAGTCTGTTGAAACACTAGGTAAAAATAAATTATCTTTAACATCCACATAAATCAAACTTGTTTTAATTTTCTGCAAAAAGCATACTCTTAGGTAGACTATTCATATTAATATGTCTTGCAAAAAGAAGCTGAAGGCATGAGGGAGCTGCATTAGTCCATTCTTGTACTGCTGTAAAGAAATACCTGAGACCGAGTCATTTATAAAGAAAAGAGGGCTAATGGGCATATGTTTCTGCAGGCTGGTAGCATGGCTAGAGAGGCCTCAGGAACCTTCCAATCAGGTAGAAGGCAAAGGGGATGCAGACACATCTTCACATGGCTGGAATGGAGAAGGGTCTGGTGCTACACACATTTAAAACCAGATTTTGGAAGAACTCACTCTCAGAAAGGAAAGGGGGAAATCTGATCCCCATGATTCAGTCACCTCCCACCAGGCCCATCCTCCAACATTGAGGATTACAATTTGATATGAGATTTGGGTGGGGACACATATCCAAACCATATCTGGAACAAATAATTTCAACCTGAGGATATTAAATGAGTGACCATATTTATACTGCATATTAGATAATGTAGATCAATTCCTTCCAACATGAGCTGTGCGCTAGGCGTACAAAAATAAGCCCTTACAGCTCACAGTTTAAAATACCCATGTAGATGAGAAGTGGTGGTGGTGGTGTTACTAATAATTGTTTTATCTGACATTTGAATCAATCTAATGTGCTAGGCAGTCTTCCAAGCCCTTTCATGAATTACCATGTTAAACCCTCCCAACATCTCTAAGCTAGATGTTACACTTATCGCTATTTTAAAGATGATGAAACCAAAGAGGTTAAGTTACTCATCTAAAGTCACAGGTATTCGTAAATGATGAAAAAATGAAAGAGTGGTAGAGGTTATAATGACATTGTGTAGAATGTGCTATAGGAACAGAGAGAGAAATAAAACTGCCTAGCGACATGACAGATGTTCCTCATCTCTAAGCAAAGGTTGTTTAAGAAGTTTCCCAAGCCATGTAGAGAGTAACACTACAAGTAGAAGAAATGGCTGTTCAAAACATGAAGGCATGAAATGACATTTCTAATTCAGCAAACTGAAGACTTAGAAATGGCTAGAAGTTTAGGACTTGTGAACAGCAATCAATGGTAAATTAAATCTGAATAGTTTATGAACAACATTGTAAAGAGCTTGAATTTGGGAATTCTTTTTACAAACAAAAACACAGACATATAAACACATTAAGCAACTGTGATTGAAGGTTGAACAGTGATGACAAGGGAACCTTACCCATCTAGCTTCTGTCTTCCCTCCCTTAGAGACAGGTATTCTATTGAGTCTTGAGTCTTCTAGGAATGTATCTTAAAAAAATCACCCCTGTACGTGATGGGAAGCACCTGTTAATTGATATTAGCAAAACAATGCCATCATTTAATTCATTTTTAGTAAAAGTCTAAAGGCATAATAGAAAATAAATATAGAAAAAGATCAAAAAGGAGGCAAAAAAAGACTAGTTTGGCCATTTGATAATCCAAGTATGAAATGTAAGCACAAACTGAAGCAGTGGTAGTGGGAATATAGAATGGCAGGTTCAAGAACTGTTCAGGAAAAGCAAAGTGGTCAGGAGTTGTTAACAAATGAGATGTGGGACTCCAATGTTAGTGGATACATAGTGATGTGAATGGAAGACAGAAGAAGTAGAGGTATTTCCATTTTGATGAGCACTTTTATTCAAGTACCCAATGGGTATACAAAAATAAGTCTGTTTATCAAACCTTTGTTTTTGTAAGAAAAATATAAGACTAACTTTTAACCCTATTTCAGTAGGCACATTTTCTTCCATTATTACTCAAAAAGTGATTTTGTTCATCAAAATTTTAGAGTCACAGCCTTGATTTTTTCAATTTTCACTATTAAACAGTGAACCCTTAGTATGGGCCTAGAAGGAAGATGGCAAAGCAATTATTAATATGTTTTGTCTCCCAGGGAGCTAATGTTTCTTGATTTGCTAGGTGCTTTACCTGTTATGCCCTCTTAATGTTACATAGTAACTGCATTTTATGGTCATGTCTTTGTCCTTGATCAACCCTCAAATCCTAGAACTCTCTGCAAACACGAGCCTACACATCTAACAAGGACATAGAATAGTAAAGTGTCAATCCATCAAGAAGGAGCAATTATAAACATATGTGCCTAAAAAGAGCCCCAAAGATGTTGAGCAAAAACTACAAGAATGGGAGGGAGAAATAGTTTAATAATAGTTTAATAGAGACCAGCAGTCAACAGAAAAGTTAGAGACTTTCTTCAATAATAGATATATTACAAAATAAATATAAACTAAATATAAACAAAGAAATAGAAGATTTGAATAATACTACAAAGCAACTAAACGTAATAGAAATATGTAGCATACTCTACCCAAGAGGAAAATACACCTTCCTAAGTGTACATACAACATTGTGCAAGGCAGACCAATGTTATGCCACAAATTTAGTCTCAATAAATTTTAAAAGTTAAAAAAGTATCTTCTCTGACCACAATGGAATGAGATTAGAAATCAACAACAAGAAAATCCGGAAAATTCACAAATACTATGTAGAAATAAAACAACAAACTCTTTAAACAACCAATGAATCAAAGAAGAAATCACTAGGGAAATATTTTGAAGATGAATTTTAAAATATGTTAAAATAAATAAAAATAAAAACACAACAATAACAAAACTTATGAAGTATAGTAAAAGCAAAAGCCCGCAGTGGGGAATTCATATTTAAAAAATGAAAGCTCAAAGTAATAACTTAACTTTATACTTTGAGGAACTAAAAAAAGAAGAGAAAACTAGAAAGCTAAATCCACAGCCAGCAGAAGGAAAAAAATAAGAGATGAAAACAAAAAGAAATGAAATTGAGGACATGAAAACAATAGAATCTACAGAATAAAAAGTTTATTCTTTGAAAAGATCAACAAAATTAATAAGCTTTTAGCTAGACTGATCAAAGAAAAAGGAGAAAAGTCTCAAATTAATAAAATAAGGAATGAAAGTGGGGACAATACTGTCAATCTTATAGATGTAAAAGGGGTTATGAATGCTATAAATGATTACAAACTATGTATACTAGATGACATGGTCAAGTTCCTAGAATCAAGCTATCAAAATTTAAGAAGAAATTTAAAATATCTGAATACACTTTTGAAAAGGGAATCAAATCAGTCATCAAAAAAACTTTCAAAAAGAAAAGCTCAGGACCAGATGATGCACTAGTGAACTCTACCAAATACTTTAAAAAAGAGCTGATCTTTCTAAAACTAGTATGTCTCAATCTCTTCCAAAAACTTGAAGAGAGATTATTTCCTAATTATATGAGGAAAGTATTGCCCTGATGCCAAAGCCAGACAAAGACATCAGAAGAAAACTATAAACCAATATCCCTTATGGACATAAATGCAGAAATCCATAACAAAATACTAGCAAATTCAATCCAGCAGCATACTAAATTATACACCATGAAAAAGTGGGAGTTGTCCTTGGAATGCAAGGGTGAATTAAAATAGGAAAACCAAAGTAATATACTCTGTTAGTTTCTGGTGAAATGAATTACCCACACATTGAGTGGGTTAAAACAATAGAAATGTACTATTTTACAGTTCTGGTGGCTGGAAATCTGAAATCAAGTTGTTGGCAGGGTCTTGCTCCCTCTGAAGACTCTAGGGAAGAAATCTTTCTAGCTTTTGGTGGCTCCCAGCAATCTTTGGTATTCTTTGCCATCACTCCAATGTCTGGCTCTGTCTTCACATAGCCCACATCTCCATCTCTGTGTGTTCTCCCTTCTTCTTATAATGACACCTTAACCAAGTATGATCTCATCTTAATCCTTAAGTAATTATATCTGCAAAGACCCTACTCAAAATAAGGTCACATTCTGAGGTTCTGGGTGAATAAATTTTGGGGGGATACTATTTGAACCACTACACACGCCATAGTAATAGAACAAAGAGTGGGAAACCCCTGACATGATTATCTCAGTTGATGCAGAAAAAGCATTTGAAAAAATCCAGTATCTGTTAATGATTTTTAAAACAACAAACTAGAAATAGAAGAGGGCTTCTAAACTAAAGGGCATTAATGAAAAACTCACCACCATCATCATACTTACTGGTGAAAGACTGAAAGCATTTCCCCTAATATCAGGAACACGAAAAGGATGTCTGACCTTGACACTTATATTCAACATTGTACTGAAATTGATGGCTAAGTCAATTAGACAAGAAAAAGAAACAAAAGACATCCAAATCAAAAAAGAGATAAAAATATCTATACTCACAGATGACATCATCTTTCACATACAAAATACTAAAGAATTCCCCAATAAACTATTGGAGTTAGTAAATGATTTCAATAGTTGCAATATATAAAATCAACATATAAAAATCAGTAGTATTTTTATACACCAGCAATGAACAATTGGAAAATGAAATTAAGAAAATAACTTAAACAGCACCAGAAAGAACAAACTCTTAGGAATAAATTTAACCAGGGAAGTGAAACGTTTACACACTGAGAACTACCAAGTATTGCTGAAAGAAGTTAAAGACCTAAATAAATGGAACGATCTCTCATGTACATAGATTGAAAGACTTAATATTGTTAAGATGGCTATACTTTCTGTCTTAGTCAGTTTGGGCTGCTATAGCAAATCATTGTAGACTAGGTAGCCAAAAAACTAACATTTCTTCTCACAGTTCTAAATGCTAGACAGTTCAAGATGAAGGTGCCAGCAGATCCAGTACTTGCCGAGGGGTCACTTTCTGGTCTGCAGATGGCAATCTTCTTGTATCTGGTGAAGAGCAGAGACAGAGAACAAGCTTGTGTCACTTTTTTTGTTTAATAAGAGCACTAACTCCTTTCATGAAGGTAATCATTACCTAATTACCTTTGAAAGGCCCCACTTCCTAATACCATCACACTAGGAGTTATTATTTCAAAACATGAATTTTGGCAGGGGGATATATTCAGTCCACATCACTACCCAAAGTGATCTACAGCATCAATACAATTCCTATTGTATTGAATACCAATGAAAACATGATTCTAAAATTTATACAAAACTGCAAGAGACCCAAATAGCCAAAACAATCTTGAAAAAGAACTGAGTTAGAGGACTTACACATTCCTATTTTTAAAATGTACTAAAGTGACAGGAAACAAAACAGCATGGAACTGTCATAAAGATAGACATATAAAATGGAATACAATTGAGAAATAAATCAGAATATAAGAAAATCAGAAATAAACCTATACATGCATAATCAATTGATTTTTGACATTGGTAGCAAGACCATTCACTGGGGAGAGAATAGTTTTTCCAACAAATTATGCTGGGACAAGTTGATAACCACATGCAAAAGAATAAAGTTAGACCCTTACATCACCTCATATATAAATATAAGTTCAAAATGAATCAAAGACCCAAATGTAAGAAGTAAACTCTAACACCCTTAATAGAAAACATAGGGCTAAATCTTTATTACCTTCGATTTCACCATGATTTCTTAGATATAACACGAAAAGCACAAGCAACAAAAGAAAAAATAGGTAAATTGGTCTTCATCAAAATTAAAAACTTTTGTTCATCAAAGGACACTATTTAGTGGGTAAAAAGATGTCCCACAGAAGGGTGGGGAGCAAGACGGCAAACAGAAGGCTCCACTGGAACACCAAATTTACACACACAAAAAGAACCTGTATAACAACTAAAAATCAGGTGAGCACTCAGGGTACCTGATTTTAACTTCATATTACTGAAAGAGGCTTGAAGAGGGTAGGAAAGACAGTCTTGAATTGCTGATGCCTCCTCTCTGCCATCCTCCACAGTGGCAGCATAGCACAAAGAAAGACTGTGTGTTTGGGGCTGAAACACATAGCAATTATTAGATTTTGCATTAAACTCAGTATTGCTCTGAACAGTGGAAAGCAAAACCAGCTTAACTCAGCTGATGCCCACACACAGAGGGAGCATATAGACCAGCTCCAGCCAGAGGGGAATTGCACATCCAATCAGTCAGAACTCAAGTTCCAACAAGCCTCACCACCAGACTAAAGTATTCGGGGTTCCTAAATCAACTTGAAATTCAGACTAGGGCACAAGGATTGCAACTCCTAAGTGAATCCTACTGCTGGGCAGGAATCAGAGCCAGTAGACTCAGGGGCACATGACCTACTGGGACACCAGCCAAAGCAGTTACGGGAGTGCTTGTATAACCCCTCCCCCAGCCACAGGCTGCAGAGCTCATGGCTTCAAAACAGACTCCTTGCATTTGGAGACAGAAGAGGGAAGAGCAAAGAGGTCCTCGTTGTGCATCTTGAATGCTGGGTCAACCACAGTAAGATAGGGCATCAGGTAGAGTCATGAGGCCACCATTCCAGGCCCTAACTTCTGGACAACATTTCTAGATATACCTGGGCCAGAAGAGAATCCACTGCCTTGAAAGGCAGGACCCAGTCATGGTAGGACCCATCATCTGTTCACCAAATAGCCCTTGGGCCCTGAATAACCATCAGTGATACCCACATAGTACATTGAGGGCCTTGGGTGAGACTCTGAGATGTGCCGACTTCAGGCAAGACTCAGCACATTCTCAGCTTTGGTGGCTACAGTGACAGACTCCTTCCGCTTGAGAAAATAAGAGAGAAAGTAAAAGGGACTTTGTCTTGAACCTTAGGTACCAGCTCAGCCAAAGGGGGTTAGAGTACCAGGCAGGCTTTTGTGATCCCCAATTCTAGGCCTTAGCTCTTAGATGACATTTCTGGACCTGTCCTGAGTCCAGAAGGGAGCCCACTGCCCTGAAGGGTGAGCCCCAGGTCTGGCAGCATTCACCACAAGCCGACTGAAGAGCCCTGTGGTCTTAAGTGAATATTGGCAGTAGCCTGGCAATAATCCCTGTGGGCCTGTGGATGTGGTGGCCATGTGGTAAGGTTCTTCTGCCTGTGAAAAGGGGAAGGAGGAGTGGAAATAACAGCACCTTATGCTTTGAGTGTCAGCTCAGCAGCAGTATAATATAACAACAGATAGATTTCTAAAGTTTATTTTGTTTTGTTTGGTTTTTCTGTTCCTGGCTCCTGGATGGCATCTCTGGATCCGCCAAGGGCCTAAGAAAACTCACCACCCTGAAGAGAAGGACATATTGCCACTTGCTGTTTATAGAGTTCTGCTGATTGTCAAGCTTTAGAACTTTGAGTGCATGTAGGTGGTAGCCAGGTAGTGTTTAAAGCAGACCTTGGGTAAAACTCAGTGCTGTGCTGGCTTCAGGTTTGAAACAGTGCAATCTCAGTGGTGGTTGCCACAGGGGTGCTTGTGTCACTCCTATCCCCAGCTCTACACAGCTCAGCACAGAGAAATTCTGTATGTTTAGGAGACAGTACAGGAAGAGAACAAGAGTTTCTGCCTGGTAATCCAGATAATTCTTCCAGATCTTACCCAAGAGCACCAATATGGTACCTCTATGAGTTTGCAAGAACCACAGCATTACTGGGTATGGGGTGCCACCTAATGCAGATATGGCTTTGATCACAAGACCCAAATCCTTCTGAATGCCTGGGAAGCCTTCCCAAGAAGGACAGGTACAAATGAGTCAAGACTGTGAAGACTATAATAAATACCTAATTCCTAATCCCCAGACATGATGAACATCTGCAAGGAAAACCTCACTCAGGAAAACCTCACCAAATAAGCTAAATAAGGCACAAGAGACCAATCCTGGAGAAACAGAGATATGTGTTCTTTGAAACAGAGAATTCAAAATAGCAATTTTGAGGAAACACAAAGAAATTCAAGATAACACAAAGAAGTAATTCAGAATTCTATCAGATAAATTTAACAAAGAAAAGCAAAAGCAAACCAATCCCAAAATTAGTAGAAGAAAGGAAATAAGGATCAGAGCAGAAATGAATGCTATCGAAATGAAGAAAATAATAGAAATAATGAAATAAAAAGGTTTTGAAAAGTTGAATAAAATTAAGAAAGCTTTAACGAGACTAAGAACAAAAGAGAGAAGACCCAGATAAATAAAATTAGAGAGGAAAAGACAGGTATCACAATCCATACTACAGAAATTCAAAGGATCACTAGTGGCTACAATTAGTAACTATATGCCAATAAATTGGGAAATCTAGAAGAAATGGATAAATTTATAGACACATAAAACCTGCCAAGAATGAACCATGAGGAAATTCAAAGCCTTTACAGACCAATAACAGGTAACGAGATTGAAGCTGTAATAAAAAGTCTTCCAGGAAAAAAAAAGCCCAGGACCTGATGGCTTCACTGCTGAATTCCACCAAACATTTAAAGAAGAACTAGTACCAATTCTACTCAAACTATTTGGAAAAATAGAGGAAAAGGAAAGACTTTCAAACTCATTCTGCAAGGCCAGTATTACCCTGATACCAAAACCAGACAAAGACACGTCACAAAAAGAAAACTACAAGGTCAATATCACTGATAAATATTGAGGCAAAAATTCTCAATGAAATACTAGCAAAACAAATTCAACAACACATTAAAAAGATCATTAATCATGACCAAGTTAGATTTATCCCTGGGATGTGAGGATGGTTCAACATACACAAATCAATCAGTGTGATACATCTTAGCAGCAGAATGAAGAACAAAAACCATATGATCATTCAATTCATGCTGTAAAAGCATTTGATAAAATTTAACATATCTTTAATGATAAAACCCTCAAAAAACTGGTTATAGAAGGAATATACTTCACCATAATGATAGCCATATATGACAGGCCCCACAGCTAGTACCACACTGAATAGGTAAAGACTGAAAGCCTTTCCTCTAATAACAACATCTGGAAGATGACAAGAATACTGGCTGTTACCACTGTTATTTAACATAGTACTGGAAATCCTAGCTAAAGCGATCAGAAAACAGAGAGGAAAAAAGGGCATCTAAATTGAAAAAGAAGATGTCAAATTATTTTTATTTGCAGATGATATGATCTTATATTTAGAAAAACCTAAAGACTTTACCAAGAAACTATTAGAACTGATAAATTTAGTAAAGTTGCAGGATACAAAATCAACATACAAAAATCAGTGGCATTTTTATATGTCAACAGTGAACAATCTTAAAAGGAAATCAATAGAATAAACCAATTTACAATAACTGCAAATAAAATACCTAGAAATTAACCAAATAAGTGAAAGATCTCTACAATAAAAAGTATAAAACATTGATGTAAGATATTGAAGAGGACACCAAAAAATGGAAAGATATTCCATGTTCATGGATTGGAAGAAATAATATTGTTAAAATGTCCTTATTACCCAAAGCAATCTACAGATTTAATGCAATTTCTATCAAAATACCAGCGGCATTCTTCACAAAAATAGAAAAAAAAAAACTATAAAAAATGTATATGGACCCGTAAAAGACCCAGAATAGACAAAGTTATTTTAAGGAAAAAGAACAAAACTGGAGGAATCACATTATCTGACTTCACATTATACTACAGAGCAATAGTAACCAAAATGGTATGGTACTGTCATAAAAACAAACACATAGAGCAGTGGAACAGACTAGAGAGCCCAGAAACAAATCTATACATCTTCAGTGAACTCACTTTTGACCAAGTTTCCAAGAACATACGTTGGGTAAAGGACAGTCTTTTTAATAAACGATGCTGGGAAACTGGATATCTATATGCAGAGGAATAAAACCAGACCGCTATCTCTCACCATATAGAAAAATCAAATCAAAATGGATCAAAAATCTTAAACTATGAAACTACTACAGTAAAACATTGGGGAATCTCTCCAGCA